ATGGGATTCGCTTCTTATTTGTACGAAAGAATCTGAAAGGCTCGCACTTCTCTTTCCTTTAGATGAGCGTCTTGTATCGAAAGTATGTATTAGAAACGTTGGCTTTGGAATAACGAGACACAACCGGCAAGTTTGAAATAAATTTGAAAATTGTAAAAATGTAAAAATTACGAGACATTCAATACAGGTGTGTGTACGTACATTTCGTAGACACCCAAAGATTTAAACATTCAATTTCGTAGACACCGCAATGTATTTAACAACGTTCAATTATCAACTATATTTAACATTTATTATATATATAAAATGGCTGTTCGTACGATGTGTAACTTTTATATATAAAATGGCTATTCGTACAATGTATATAAAAGTTACAATGTATATAAATGTATATTAAAGTTACATCTTGTAATGTATATAAATTTAAATAATAACATTAAAAATATTAATAATAATAAATTAAAACAGTTACATCTGTTAATGTATATAAATGTATATTAAAGTTACATCTTGTAACTTTTATATACATTTTCATGTTATATTGGTTAAATATTAATGAACTTTCAAGATATTTTATATACATAAGAAAGTACGAAAATTCTTCTACGTTGTACTAATAGTATTAATAATCAAATCAGGATAAATATTCTCTACGATGCCTGTTTTATTGCCTATGGTTTGTTTGAAAATTGACTACACTTTGAAATTCAAGTATTTTATTCTATAGTGTTATATATCGGCCGAATATATATTTTATGCGTGCGTCGTATCTTCAAAAACAAAGTCATATATTGAAACTGTTAAGAGTTGTGAAATGTGTGAAATGTTACGTTAACGGTGGTAGACGCATAGATATCATTCGTCAAAAATTTCACCATAAATAACTTGAATTGCACGAACATGGAAAACAGGGAAGATACAAACACTAAATATTCACTCGTCCATAAAAACCGACTCGTTTCAACAAATTGAAACAGATGGCCGTTTTATTTTGTTATCTTTTGTATCGCATAGTCAGAGTTAATTATAATTTCGCTGTGTTTGCCAGACTACCGTGAAGTGGTTCCTTCGGTACGTTTTATTACTGAAACGTGTATCTTTCATTCGTGTAATTATTTTTCTGGCGATGTTTCACGTTCGTCAAAAAATATTTCCATTTAATAAATCTCTCGCGAGTAAATCACCGATTTTTACGCATTTATGGAAAATGTGATAATGCTAAAATGCAGAGCATTCATTTGATATTCAAGAACGTGTAAAATATCCAATGTATCACACGTACTATTATATGATACTTCGGAGATAAAATAATTTTCCATTTAACATCCTTCTATTTATTAATTAAAATACGAGTAAACTTTGACATTAATACATTTATCTTCTTCAAAGATTCATCTTCTTCAGAAAGTAAAGTAATGTAAAAATATATAATATAAATAAATATAAATAAATATATATAAATATAAATAAATATATATAATTAGAACGTGGACATTTTCACAAGCGTTGCACTCTGCTCGTAATAATAATATTTGCGTAATATTTGCAGTAATCTACTAGTACGACGTAATTCATTCACAAAGTGTAGCCATAAAGCCAAAAAAAAAAAATTCTACGACTTTTTTCTGTCCTTTAACACGCGTCTACAACCCCGACTGTCCGCTTTTGCATTGTTTTTTTACACCGATCTTTACACTTTACTTCACTTTCACTTAGCCTAGTTACCGCGCATCGGCATACGCGAATAACCTAATAGTTTCCAACTTAGTGGGATCACGTTCGAGTATCGATTTTATATTACAGAAAACGATAAACGATATCTTCGTCTTCGAGAACAATCGGGATGGGCGTTGTCCAACGTGCAAATGGCGATTTCATTCGCCACGAGGCTCAGGTAGAATTCGTAGAAACGTACTTTCGCTAACGAAACTTTCCTTTAGTCGATAAACCTTGATGCATCTAGCGATTCTTCATGCTTGAAATTTTATTTCTCATCCGATGATATTCTATTTCGCGATGCTCTTTAATTAGTAAGATTGGCACGCGCTCGTACTTTTATTTCTATTATAATAACTTTTAAAATTACCTATGCTTTGAAATTCAAATTGAAGATCTAGATTGCATAGTATTATTTTATCGTTCTTTCGTATAAATTGTTATAATTATCAACAAATCCAGCGATACTTATAATTGTAACAATTTATACTAAATAACGACTGAAAAATTTAGAGTGTTTAATTTTATTTTACACTTTGCATTCTTCGTGCTATGGAGATTAGTAATAAAATCAAATCGAATAAAAAATTCCAACATTAAGTAACGAATCTATCGCTATCAACTGTTACAGCTTCAACTTTACGATGATACCAATTAAATGTTAAATATCGATACATTCGTAACTGCTGACGTGGACTCACGTCATCTTCAACTCTGCTTCTAATTATTGCTGACGCGAATTCACGTCATTTTGTAAGACTTCTGTCTGATTATCGTTGAATTATCGTATTAATTTTAAATTAACCCAACGTTTCATTCAAAATTCCTTTCCGTCACTTTGCATCATCAAATTCTACTTTTTAATATTGGAATTGTGAAAGGATATTCGAAGAATTTGTTTAACATTTTTTTCATCGTTATGCCTTCCACGTAGATTCCATAATTTTATCCAATTTCAACAAGTTGAAATATTCGTGACGTTTCAATACATTATTGTGAATGTCTCATGATTTTCAGTATATTTAATTTACTACGTTTATTTGATTAATATACAAAGAATTGTGTTAATATCTCATGTTGTTATTTATATTATTTTTATATTTAATATTATTTTAATTTATATTTATAATTTTATTATTATAATTTTATAATATTATTTATAATATAATATTATACCATATTAGATATATTAAAACAGAAAAATTGTGTGTGTTTGTAATTTAAAATTTACGTGTGTTGTAATATAATATTATACTATATTAGATATATTAAAACAGAAAAATTATTTAAACAAAAATGACCCCTCCATGACGTGTGTGAACCTTCCAATTGCTTTCATATTTTTATCAAGATCCCTCTAAGAACAAAGCGTCCAATTAATCAAAGTTTCACGGAACACGCTTAGTCGAACCACGAGTAAAATCCACATTCTTATCGGACTGTAGAACACGGAGTACCATCAACGAAGAAGATACGAATCGCAATTACATTACATACAGGCGAACAGTCCGAAGCAGCGTCCCTGAATACGCGAGCCACGAGTTTGCATAAGACGTATTGAATAAAAGAAAGATCGCCGCGTAAAATTCTCGGCGGCAAACGATACTCCGGTGGGAATTTCGCAATCCCGGCGTGATTCCCGGCGATATGAAACGTTTTGATTTCCAAGGAAATCCAGCGGCGTCGAAACGTTTAGATGAACGTTTTGGATAAGGAACGTTCTCGATTTCAGAGGTCAATGAGCAGATCGCGCCGGATACGAGGCGACGTTCTCTCACGTTGGGAAAGTCAACCGAGTTTCGCAAACCGGGGACACAAAACGGCCGAACAAAAGAAGACTAGATACTCTGGCGCGATCTCCTGTTCCCCTTCACCGATCGCTGACCACGACTCGAGACGAGATCCGAGTCGGATCTATCGCGAAACTCTTGAAATCTATCGTAGAGATGGGAAAGTTTTTAAGTTCCACGTGGGTTCTTTTTTCCTATCTTTAGAGTGATCTCTAAGCAGATTCTGCTCGTTGGAGTATCCTCTGAAAATTTACGTGTCTGTGTACAACAAAATTCGTGAAATTTATTATTGAGCTCTTCGACCTGCAAATCCGTGGATTTTTTGACTATTAGATTCTGCTCGTTGGAATATCTTCTGGAAATTTGATTTACATGCCTATGTACAATTGGCATTTGTCTAAAATCGACATTTAATCTAAATTTAAATTCTAAATCTAAATTAAATTTAAAATTCTTCAAATTCTAAAATCTAAAATTTTCGTAATTGTATGAGAATCGTAATTTTAAAATCTAAAATTTTCATAATTGTATGAAAATAACAATGATAATAATCCAATAATGAGAAAATATCGTTTACATTACGTCAAAGGAATGTCACAAACAAAACATGTAAATGGCCAAGATAACGTCAATAAAAATTCGACCGTTTAAAAATATTTATCTCAGCGACTCCTCTGAACCTCATGACGAAATGGTTCAACTCATTTACCTTGAATACTTTTTTTTTACTTCTTGGGTAGCATATTAACACGTTCACTATCATGATATGGTCACCGACGACCAACTGCTTCTCTGTTCTTACGCAAACGTTTGATCATCTTAAAATAATCAAAATAAGATGAATATCGTCGACAAAAATCCATTTTACAATACTATACAGTATTATAAAATGAAAATTTTTACAAATCACTGCATTCTTGTTACAACACGTAATATTCTACTATAATAAGTCAAATATCTTTTCCTACAGGCAAAACATACAACTATCATGTGATAATCAATGTGTTGGAGTCCGCGTAGTGGAACAACAATTTTTAATTTTATAGAGGTTTATTATCGTGTACAAAATCTTTAGTCGTATTGATGGAAAGAAAGGATCTATCTCCTTGCTTCTTCCCGTTATCATCGTTGTCAAGTGAAATGATGGAAGGAGCATAGATGACCAACTACTGGATTTTGCCCTTGTGGGGCAACTACACCTATTTACAATCCACTTTTAAGTGGACTATTAACCCAGTATCAGCACTGAGCCAACATTGGGCCATCCAACAAATGTGTTGTTTCATTCACTTTCTCTCTAAGGAATCTCGAAATCAATTCGCCGCAAAATGCTACGAGAAATGTCAATAACTAAAAACTGGAAAAAGTCGTAAGACGTAGTTTCCGTTACACGTCCAAGATAGAAGGTAACCATAGACGAGAGCCCCGACTCTCATGGCAAACCAACACATGTCCTAGATACATACGATTACTCGCCACCGTCATCCTACTCACCTCTGCGAGCAGCGTCAGAAGCAGAAGAAGAGTACCGCGAAACCTGGAGACTGGTCGCGGAGAATCAACGACTTTCGTGTTCTTCATCCTTAAAGAAATCCTTCTAGGACCACAGTTACCAAGAATAACTATATATATATATATACAATTCTATTTTCTATTCGTTCTTCGAAACTTCCTTTAGTCGACCGTGTGCACTCTCTTCCTTTCTCTTCTTTTCCTAGCTACTTGCTCGATCGATGACCGATTGATTCACCGTTGAAACTCACGGATTATCACCGCCGATTATCGCGCCGGCTGGAAACACTTTTCGTTCACTAATCGTAAGAATGCGCGCGTGGAACGCTCGCTGTGGTCTCGTTGATCGATCGACGACACACTACCCGGCCGCCTAGTATCACGAGGAATCGCGTATCCCAGCCTGGACACGTTGCGACGACACCTGTTCGCTCGATTCACTGTCGGTAGCACGTCGGCGATTGCTTTGTCGAGCGAGATGGAATCGTTGATGGACAACAGAAGGAACGACAGCTGCCATATCCGTCGGCTAGCTGACTCGAGTTTGGCTAACCGGAACGCTAACTCTTCTCTCGACCCCTCTGTCGCCGTTCCGAATAGCTCTGGCTGGCTGTTACACGCTGCGTCGGTAGGGATTGTTGCAAACGGGTACGCGACGACCACGTGTCGCCCCGTTCGATGTCACGAACGACGTCCGCCTGTTGGCTTCCTGGTGGACTACTTCGCGCGATAGATGCTCTATCGTTCGCTCTTGGACGATGCTCGCTCGTTGAGCAACTGTGATCGCGCGTCTCCGCTCGATCGACGAGCCGAACGTGTCGTTTAGCCGCCGACGGATTACTTCGTCGCTCTTTTTTTCCTCGTTCTGTCGTTGGTTCTCTCGTCACTGCTCCCTCTTTCCATTATGATCTCAAAACCACCATCGGCTCGTCAGCTTGCTCGTGAGAATTTTCGATCAACGACCTACTTGGTTAGCCTGCTTCGTGTTTACGAGTTCGGAGCGAATGGAATGTCAAGCGTAGACCAGTCAGCAGCGACGTGCCGGTTTTCGTGGAACGACCGATCGAATTACTGGAAACGGCACGGGCAAATGCGTTCGTCGACAATGGGCACGTAGCGCTCGATAACGAGCTCGTGCACTATCATCTCCTCTCCTCGGCGAGCCGCTCCGTCTCGCCAAGTACGTGCAAAGCGAAACAGTTTCAGCTAGATAAGGCTGTTGCTGCTCCTCGTCTCCTCGCGCTCCTATTGCTTCTCGCTTCGAGCCCTTCAACGCGGCCAATGGAATAACGACCAGGAGGGATGTTACCCTCCGAATCGCGTCCGAGACAACGACAAGGTAACGAACCGAGCGTTAGAAAATCGGAGATGTCGTCGCTATTAGCATCGTGAGATTGTCCTGGATATCGTCCGTGGTTTGCGGACAATCTGGCTGTCCAAAACGAACGAATTAATTAATTAATTTCCAATTAATTTCTTTTACTATTCTTCTTCTTCTTCTTCTTCTTCTTTTTATTATTATTATTGTTATAACAAAGGTGTTTAATTTGCGAATTTTTATCAAAATTAAAACGCGTATTTTTACGCTTTCTCCTGTCGAATATTTTGCTTGAGAAGCAAACAGAATGGTTGAAGATAAATTCACTTCGTGAGAAGAGGTGAGCTAGCAAAAGTCCAGCTTATCTTTTCTTCTTTTTTTTTTTTTTTTTCTTTTTTTTTTTTTTTTTTTTTTTTTTCTTTTTTTTTTGCTGCTACGTTTCCTTTCTCTCTGTCTGTGAAACAGCTTGCGTTAACGTCGTTGAATTATGTAAATAACGAACGTCACAGAACGCCTGGCGAATTTGAATCGATCCTCCAGCCAGTCCAGCGTGACTCCGTTTTTTTCTTTTGTTACCTTGCTCTCTTTGTACTCCGAGTACCCGACTGCGAGCTCCAAACGTTCTAAGAAAACTGTGAATTTCCTTCTTGGGTACGAAGCTGTGACAACGAAGATAACGAGACAATCGTCGTATATTGAGATGCTCGGTTATTTCGCGCGGTTGTCACTGCGATGTCGACGACGATGCGAATATCAGCCGAAACGTGCCAGTACGTTTCAATGCTTGCAACGTCAAGGTGAAAGACGCGAGCCAACGGAGGAACAGAGCCGAGGGTTTATCAAAGAGTGAGAGACCGAACGAACGTTTTATACTTGCGTCCGGTACAGGCGTGTCTACTGACAGAAACGAGTTTTCGTATTTTTCTCCAATCGAACCCGATCCACGGGCGAGCGATGCCACGCGAAAGACAGAGAGAGAGAGAGAGAGAGAGAGAGAGAGAGAAAGAAAGAAAGAGAGAGAGAAAGAGAGAGTATCCGCGCCAACGAAATCAATATGTCAATAACAACCAGTGTATGAAACCGCGAGATTCAACGTACAGACATTCGACGTGCCGTAACGAAAACGAGAAAATCGCAGGAGAAATCGAACGATCGCACGTACGTCACCGTTTGCAGCAGTCGTCCTGTTTCGCCAGCGTTTCAGCGAGCGTCGATGTCAAAGGTAGGCCAAAGTACCACGCACGCACGTATACACACCACGCACGCACGTCACAGCTCGGTTGGTCGGTGAGAACAACGCTTGAGAACAACGAAAATCGAGCAGATTGCCGACCAACGCGCGGAAAAACGAAACTCGGCGAGATCTCAGCACCGGGAAACGCGTGAGCGTACAGGGCGAAGGGGACGCGTGACAGCCAGCGGCAGGATATTCGCGAGTGGAAATCCTCGCGAATCCACGATGGCAGAGGCCGAGGGGCAAGGCAACCTCAACGACGAGAAATACGCGGTTTCGTCCGAGGTGAGGTGCACTCGGTCAACTGGCGCGCTTTCATGACGCCTCTCCCGGTGCAGGCACGGCCAACGGGACCTCGGCTGCTCTCTCGGCACTCCAACTCGTGGCTCGCCGAACCAGCAGCAGCTAAATCGCTTGCCTTGCCTCGTCCCTGGCCTCTCCAATCTCTCCCGCACGGCTAACCTGACTGCCTTTCCATTCCATTCGCTTCTCTCTCTCTCTCTCTCTCTCTCTCTCTTTCTTGCTCTCGCTTCTCTGTCTCTCTGTCTTGCGCGCTCGCTAACCATCATTCGAATCGCCGCCGACTACTGCCCCGGCCGGATACTCGGCGCAGTCGCCGCCGCCGCCACCTCCAACCGTGTCCCCACCTTCCATCATTCCCTACCATTTCAACCTTCGAACCCCCCCGACCATACTGCTCCCACCATCGCCACCTTTTGTATTCCCTGCCCGCTACGAACTCGCCGCCACTACTGATGGCATCAAGTCCAATATGTACTCACCAAGTTGATTCGAGTTTCGTTTCGTTTCGTTTCGTCGACGTTGTACAGTATACTCGGGGAATAGGAATGTTCCGACGAGCACGGTTGTTCGTTGCGTGAGTGAGTTTACGTGAGTTGATTTCGAGCTGAGTTCAATGAAGATACTCATTGAATAGCTGGTGGATTAAGAGACAATAGTCCGTAGACACACAGTGTAGCATTGTCCATGGTAAATCCACAGCAAATAAAGGACAGACTATAAGTTCAGGCGTAGTTTGCAGACGAGTATTCGTCTCTATTTCGTCCGTGTTGATTCGTAATCGCGATCATAGACAATTTTTGTCAGTCAAGTCTTTGTTGATCCACAGAGTGATCCTTGTCTCTTCACTTTTGCTAGATCCAACGGAAATAATTGAAAGATCGAATATGAATGTGATACCTTGTATCGAGATTTGTTTCTTTTCACTTCTCGTAATTGGACTGACAACGATTTCTATTTTCGAGACCAATACAACGTGTATTTTCTATACACGATTTTTGAATGTTGCATTTGCATAGGAAAATAGGAAAAATAATTCAGTGAATAATAGTCATTGACGCACACGTCCTCTGATATTTAAAGTAACATTTTTCACTCGTGAAACATCTCGGAAGTATCAATATTTATAAAAGATTCAGATCCAAAGATTCAAATATTTAAACTTACGAGATATTTCTAATTCTATCTCTGTTCACCAATATTCGAATCTACTTGCTATCGCTTTAATTTCCAGAAATTACTCATGAAACGTCCGAAACTAATTGAGTATAGTTGCAAGTGCAGTTAAAGATATTAAATATAAAAATGTTCGAGTCCAATAACCAATAACGATTTTTGAACATGTTCGTGAAGCACTCGATCCCATCTCTAGCCACCACCATCCACGTTCACCGCTCGGAGTTTCCTCCCTCGCTCTCTCGTGTATTCTAACAGCTAGAGCTGCTTCTCTACCTAACCCACAGATAGAAACGTGTCCTCGTTTGTGTTCGTTGGTAGGCGAATATGCGTGGCTGTGTGTAGATCAGTAGCCAGGAACGTAGCTTGCCAAAGAGACACTTGGTCCTTATGGCCGCGTGGGTTCGTTGACTTACGAACTTGTGGCTAAATGCCTCCATTTGCGTTCAGATTAGATATCTTCGTTATCGGGGCGAGAAAAATCTTCCACGGATCTCAAATTTTGGTTTAATTTTCCACGATAAGAAGATCGGCTGATTCTGGATCAGAAATGTTTGTTGGAAATGATCGATTGTTTCCGTGAAGTTGGCCGAATCAGTTTCCCAACATTGTAAATAAGTATTAATGTGGTAAAGTAAGTATCCAATTAGAGGCGAAATAAGATTGAAATTAGGAATACTTATGATGTAAATGCTAATTGTAAGTTTAAAAGTCTTGCAATTTTAATAAATTTTAATTTTTGAAATTACCAAGTTACAATCATTTTATGGTATGTTTCTATGCATAGAAAGAAATGATCAAAATGAGATAGTTAATTGTACAATTGATAGAATAAATAAATATTTCTTAAGACAGATGTTAGTTATGACAATAACTTTTATCAAAAGTTTTATCACATTGTCAAAAATTCAACAGTTGTATCGTTTTAATCACAAAAAATTTGCCATCAGACGAAAAAAGAAATACAAAATTTCTGTTCCATTTAATTTTTTATCTATTTGGGATTCACCCTTTACTCTAATCTCTCACTTATTGTCATTGAACTTAGAGCCTATCTTTTATTTATTTAATCGAAAGATAAAACACAAGGATATAGTTAAAAGCTTCTATTTTCTAATACTTTACTTTCCCGTGACAAGTGACTAATGATGATAAATTTGGTGGAAATACACGACGTAACTAAAATTGACGAGTATTTTTACATAGAGGTTGTGTCCACTACGGAAATAACGTACCTTTCGTAATAAAAATACACGAAAAAGTCTGAATTTTATTTCTTTATAAATAAATGTATTGCTTTGTTGATTGCAAATTTAAAATCACACTTACGATCGTGTGTTGACATTTAAATGAAAAGATTTCAATTTCAAATCTCCGATAGATTAAATATCTGTCATTTTATTGAATTCCATGCGAGAAGGCACGCATTTATCATTTTAATCCAATAATTTATTATTTTAAATTTATTGCTTTAATTGAATTAACTATTCGAACGAACTATTTACTGCATAAAATATTAATTTATATACGTGATTATTGAGTTCATTTATGTCCCATTACGTCATTAAATACAGTTCAAGATAAAACTCAATTCCAGCTTATTGCATCGCTTTTCAAGAATATAAGGATAACTTTGCACCGTTATGCACTAATTACTATTACCTGAATCCATAGGATTAATGCACAGAGGAAACGAGAAGTCATATTAAACCTACTAATGAATAATTCAATACAAATTTGAAACTATTTAACAATTAAACAGAAACTGATCTAGATACGAAGCAAGTAGGCGCATAAATCGACGTAGCAAAGTCAGTGAAGATAATAGTACAAAGAAATTAGTTTTATATTTTTAGTTTTATATTATTTGAACTATAATACTAAAAGAGTTTTACTTCAAGTTTCGTAATATTAATCGAACCTCTCTTTTTCATATTATGTAACTCAAAGGAGTAAGTTTCTAGTATTTTTAACAAGTAACTTGTTACTGATAATCATTCACTTAATGATTTTGGAGTAAGATCTATATGTATGATAGATCTCGTTTTACAAAGTCGTTCATAGTTACACGATCTCTTTTACAAGTTTTAATTCATAATTACACTGTAATAATACAATTAAAAATTAAATTTCATATAAATTAATGTAAAATATGTAAAATGCTGATTTCTTACAAAATTTCTTTATTTTGACCTGTTTTTATACAACTTTTTTTACAAAATACGTGTTAATCGTGTAAATTGAACTCTATATTGTTAACGATAAATTAACAATTATTATATTACACATAAATTAAGAAACCGCCGTTTATCAGAAATTCAGAAACTACCACGTACATTAGAATTCCGTTTATGCAAACTTCATTCATTTGAATCAAATTTCAGTCAATTTTGGTTAAGTGTACCTTTGCGAATTCCAATAAACTATTTGTCTACTTGTCATTAACAAGTTCATATAAGCGAAACTCTATTGTAACTGGGTTTGACTTATCCTGGCATTCCTCTTCACGAGTGAGAGTCGCTGGTTAACA